CGAGGACTAGAGAAAATGTGAGAATATAAAAATACGAATAGTCTCTTGGCAAAGGTGATTATAGTGAGAAGAAGTGAGCGAACTACATGAGATTGCTGTGAATGCAGTGAATGTTGAAGATCTAATTTGAATATTGTCACACAGCAGATAGAGAGTTTTTCTAGTCGTTGATAATGACCGTGTGAATAAAAAGGTCGATATATCCGAATTAGATCTTCAACATTCACTGCATTCACAGCAAGTTCATAAAGGTGATTATGTAACACGAAAGATTCTTTTGAATTACTGAGGACTGCAGACTCAGTCCGCTACAGGGTAAGAAAGGAAGAAAATGATATCAAAAAAAGACACGTATCTACTTCGAAGTGATGGATGAGTACAAAGTTCAGACTCAGGAGAACGATCGATTTATTGGCAAAAAAGAGTAACAAAATTGGTCATCATAATGAGGTTAGTCGATAGAAAATCCTTGAACACGGTGTTTGCTGCAATCAACGACGTAGAAACTGCGATGTCGATCAACGGCCAAACCTCTCGGTTCACCGAACTGGTTTGCTTCGTTTGGATCCCCATGTCTGCCCAAGATGACAGTACCTTCCCTTGCTCCTTTAGGCCAACAAGTAACTCTTCGATTTCCTTTCTCTGTAACATAGATATTACCCGATGTATCGACGATAGTCCTTGGGGATACGACAACTGATTTAGGTTATATCCTCGACCATGGTTTCCAGCGACGACTTTCCCTTCTAGAGCATGTTTATCCCATTTCATCACACGATTGTTGCTGCTGTCAGACACGTAGACAGCCTGTTCTTGATCGACAAAGAGGTAGGTTGGAAAGTTAAATTGGTGGAGACTAGAACCTTTGCCATTCCCACCGGCTACGATAGTGCCCTTCTTCTGGTCCATTTGATATCGTCTTACTTCATGTTTTTCGGTGTCAGAGATGTAGAGATATCCTTGATGATCCATGGCTATTCCATTACACTGAATATCGTCAAAAAGAATCTCTCCTTCAGTCGTACCACTGAGACAAGACCATCGCACCACTCGTCGATTGCCCCATTCGCAAATGATCAGACTATTCGTTTGTTTGTCGATCAACATATTAGTGGGTATATTCAATTGATTCAAGCCTTCTCCAATACCATGACCACCAGCTATGACGGTTCCTTCGTCGTCACCAATTTTCCACTGAATGATTCGAGCATTATTGCTGTCAGCAATAATCATAGTTTGCTCATCAGCAAAGAAAATACCTTCCGGCTTGCTCAGCTGATGGTTACCATGATTCTGACCATGGCCTCCAGCAACAGTCTTCCCGTGCGTCGGCATTCTCAGAGCATCTGACATATGGAGAGTTTCTGCAAAAAATTCGGAATGTTTTTCGACTTTCTGCTTTGCACTTGTTTGGCCATCTTGATCTTCTGGATTCAATATGTTAAATTTTTGGATTCGATGATTGTGACGATCAGCGGTATATAGTTTATTCTCTTGATCGAAAGATATACCTGAAGGATAATTCAATTGTTCTTCTCCTTGTTCAAATTTACCACCGACAATCACATTTCCTTCTGGTGCATCCTTCAACCACCGCATCACTCGATGATTAAACTGATCTACTACATAAATAGTACCTGTTTGATCAACAATGATGCTACGAGGACAGGACAATTGTCTCAAATTATTTCCCCGACCATGACCACCAGCAACGACAATTCCTTCTTCTGTATCTTTCTTCCATTTCATTACGCGATGGTTGTGATTATCGGAGACATAAACTGATTGTTCTTGATCGACGAAGATGGAGGTAGGATAATCGAGTTGACTAAGCTTATTTCCTTTTCCATTTCCACCTGCTACAACTACTCCATTTGTAACTCCGATTTTCCATCGTTTCACTTCCTGCCTTTGATGATCCGAAACATAAAGATATCCATCTTTATCCATAGCTAAATCATCACAGCTAACTTTGGAAATAATTGTTTCTCCAGCTGTACCATTTTGACGAGGCCATCGCACTATTCTCTTGTTTCCACAATCACAGATGAGGAAAGAATCAGTCTGTTTATCAAGAATTAAATTTAGTGGACCATTCAACTGATCATCTCTCTTTCCTTGTCCATTTCCACCAGCTACAACTCGACCATGTGTATCACCAATTCTCCACTCTACGATGCGATGATTATGTTCATCACAGATATACATTATTTGATGATCGTAGACAGAAACATTATATGGTTCGTAGAGTTTATGAAGTTTCTCGCCTTCACCATGTCCTCCAGCAACGGTGAGACCTTTCTGTATCCATTTGGCATCGATATTGATGTTTGGGATAAAGATCAGTACTGCAAGAACGAAAAAGAGAATCTTTTCGATGTTCCATTTCGAACTCGAGTACTAATTTTACCTTCTGAATGACTTTTGTCTTCTTCATTTGTTGTCTGCAATTACTCATTCATTGCATCATTCATACACAACTCATTCAATTCAAAAAGAAAATCTACTCATAGCGCTTCCTGACAGAAGCAGACAAGCATAAATGTTAGCTAGTGGCTTGAAAATCTGAAATATGTCAGAAATAGAAGCCATACACGATTACAAATATTTATCTAAAAAGATTCTATGATCTCGGGCATAGCAAATCCGGTCGATTATACTGGCGTCCGGTTTGGACGAGAACGGTAAATGTATTCTGATTCGGTTTTTTACGTAGATTCCGAATCCGGAGTTTGTTTTTTTGGGTGCAAAGTATACTTTTTGGAGAAACAGAGGAAAAACTGTTTTTACATGGAAATCAACGCTTTTATTGCTTTTTCTTTTTTTTGTCGTTCTGAATATATATGTTTACTATGGAGTCCAGATCAATCAGCCTAAAATATGTGAAATACTGGGAATTTATAGCTCCACTTTCACCGTAATTCTTTTCAAATCCACAATTAAATGCACTTATATGCTGTAAGGTCAGTAATTAATATACTTATATTGTTGTTTACTTCTTTACAATTTTCTATTAAATTTTGTCAAATTCTCTGCACTAGTTATGAGCCGTTACTAATTTTCTCTGTAATTATCTTTTAGAAATAATAATTTACTCATGCTATCGAACATAATTCAAACATTTATTCACTTATCTTAAAATTGGTTAAGGGGGGGGGGGGGGGGGGGGGGGGGGGGGGGGGGGGGGGGGGGGGGGGGGGGGGGGGGGGGGGGGGGGGGGTTGGGTTGTTTGTGTTTTGTGTGTGTTTGGTTGGTGNACTAATCAACGATCGGACTCCGAAAATCGCCAGGCGAGAAATTCAAAAAAAGAACGGGAAGAAACGGCATCAAAATTAGCACATGCAGCTGCAGCAAGGGTTAATGGACGAGGAAATGGAAAAAAAAAAACCGGCCCCCCCCCCCCCCCCCCCCCCTCTGCCTAGGAGTTGACAGAGCCAGATTTTTGAATTTATCATTTATTGATTTCTGGTGTTTAACAGAACTATAAAATCCGAAAAATCCTTGGAATGTTTTTCAGAAATCCCCAGTTCTACAAAAAACAGAAGCATAATTTAAAAATTGGACTCTGTCAACTCCTACCTATAGGTGTTATCTACAAATCAAAAAAAAAAAACTTCATCCGATGTATCGTTACCGAGAATTCCTGTGCATGGCGAAAGCTCTGAAACTAAAAAACAGTCTTAAGAAAAACGCAAAATAAGTTTTGATTTTGTTAAATGCATTTTACTTAAAAACTGTGTGAGCGTTAAATAATTTGTTGATATTTTGCTACAGGTTATCGGTCATGCCGGAACTAATGAACATGTGCGCGGCCATATGCGGCACGTGCGTGCGTTTATGGAATACAAGTGCAAAAAAGCCATTTTTTTGTTCTATAGGGCTTGTGGAAAACTCACTCAAAAGCTATGAAAAACCTATCCTATCGACACAAAAATTATGCCATTAGAAAGTAGACACTTTGGGTTATCCGCCCATGTGCTTTTCTCAAAATCAATAGTTTTGACGAAAATCGGCATTTCTGACCCAAGGTGAGGGGCAGACCCAAAAGGATTTTGAATACATGTATGTTTGTAGACGTCACGATAGGTATATGAGTTAAAGTTTAGTATTGCAATTTAACTAAGTTATATCCTGGACTCTTGTTGTGGATGTTGCTATACAAATTGACCATTAATTTCTTTTATATGTATCTAACTCGTTGCAAAATTCGATTCTCTAACTAGCAAGTATTGTTCATATGCCAAGAAAACGAAAGGATGAAGGAATGAATCTTGTTCTTGTAAAAAAATAATTTAATTGCATCTTTCAAAAGTATGGTACAGCAATCTGAATTTATTGTTTATTTTAATCCAAGAATGAATGTTTAGACTTTTTATCTCGGGTTTTTCTCATTCAGGAGACCCATGATTGTTCAAGTTTTCTGTACAAATGACAACTCAAAACTTTTACTTTGTATGAATTATATAACAAAATGATAGAACTATCTACAGGTATAGTTGAAAAGATTTAGAAATTTTGTCCCTATGACACACAGCTTTTCAGGTCAGCTTTCATCCAGTCCCCTAGCATTACGAAAGCTTTCGTAAAAATAATGCAAAGGGATTAATGTCTAAGTAGATGCTATGACAAGGCTTCCGTAACTCTCTTTAACGGGGCTTTCGTAACGAAGTCTGTATGTACTTTTTACGGTAAAATAGCTGAAGATTAATGTCCTCTAACAGGACTTTCGTAACGGTCTTTTACAGGGCTTTTGCAACGAAAGGTATATTTACTTTTCAAGCTGAAATGATGTGTGATTGTACTCATTCACTCTCACTGTTTCTATCTGTTTTCTCTTTCATTTACAATAAGAAGTAACATTCGTTACGAAAGCCCTGTAATAATACAGCATTATCATTTATATCTGGGATAAAAAATACATATAGACTCCATTACGAAAGCCGTGTAAAAGAGTCTTACGAAAGCCCTGTAAGAGCATCTACTAGAGATTAATCCCTTGCATTATCGTTACGAAAGCCCTGTTAGTGCTCCTAGTAACTGACTATTTCATAGAGAGGATATGACCCGATTAATAGTGTTACGAAGGCCCCGTAAAAACAGATAAGAAAGCCCTGTAAAAAAGAGGGGTTTGGATGAAACGCCACCGCTTTTCAGAACTCCATTTTTACGCTTTTTTTATAAGAACATAAGTTTAGGGTACTTGTATTTTGTTCGAGCTCTTTACGATTTTTCTTTACCAAACTGTATTCAATCTACGAAAGATTCCAGGGGCATTTTTCTATTGTTTTTCTTGAAGATTTCGGTAAGTCTGATCCGTTCGACGTTTTGTAGGCTTTCGTAGACTGAATGCAGGAAAGGTCGTAGAGAGCTCGAGCATGCCTCATTTTCTTCAGAAATTTTCCTGTATAGCAGTATAGGGGGTAAAAATACACCTATTTTCAAGTTCAGGAGGAATTTCTCCAGTTTCAACGCTAATTCACTTTTTCTCAATTGGATCAAACTTATTAGCCATGTCACAGTACCCTCTCTTTCTAACACCAGAACGTTTGCCTTTGGACAAGGGCAGTTTTTATCGAAAAAGTTCGTCCACTTTTATCTCATCTTGGTCTACCAGCTCAGAAATATTCAGAGCATCCTTTCCGCTGTGGCGCTGCTACGATGGCCTCCGCCTGCGGTTTACCTGATCACATTATCCAACTTCTTGGTCGTTGGCTCAGTGAAGCTTTTGAGTGTTATATCGATTTACCACTGTCAACAATTAAGCAAGCTCAATTCATTCTCATAACTCAATAAAAAACTCATATTCTTGGGGCCTCCGATGCATATAGTATCTTACGTTCGGATTCGCCCGAAATTCTGTTTTGTTGTAGTTGACGAATAGTCGTCCCTTTTTTTGCCATATGTAATAAATACAACGTAGCATTACACTCTCTTGACTAGGAAAGAGCGAGAAATGAAATGCAGGTTCTTGAGGGAGAACGTAAGTTCATGAGAAGTGAATCTCACATTCTTTCCGAAAAATCGAATTTGTCGTCAGGGTGATCAAAACTAGAAATCTTTCTTATTTGGAAAAATTCGTTCATTTTTCTCTTTATTCTGAGTTTCTTTAACTTCGCTACCGCCCCCTCGCCTACTGTTCGTAAGCTAACGACAACTTTTGAGTGTTTTAGTGTCATACCTGCCATGACGCAACATATCTCAATTGCTGCATAACATACGATATTAATGATTGACCATTATATTATCTAAGCACGGTATTACATAAACAAACAAAGAAACATAATTCAAATTATTTAGAGACTTTTCAGTATTGTTTACTCTCAAAAACCACCAGCATACATCAAAATCATATAAATACTAGCATCATGAAGTTTATTGTGCTCGATTTCTCATTTGTGTTGAACATCCGGAATGAATCAGTTATCTAGCCCATAGTTCTTTATGATTCGTTAAATAGATACGTGAATGGCGAACAAATGAATGATATACTACACTGTGAAACTATAGATGAGCTTCATCATGCCTTACAACTTAATGAAAATAAAAAAAATGATACTATTTATTTCATCACAAGATATTCAGCAACAACAGGTACAAGAATTATTGAAACAAAATGAATTCATCCATTCACTTTATGTCTGTCTCATCCATGATATCGTACCAGATTCAGTGCCATCAACTGCAATATATCTGAAGAAAAAGAGTTATTATTATTCTATTTGGTTTTGATTCAAATGGAAAATTCCAATCTAAAAGACAAATGAATATCATGCAGAGCGGAGAAAAGTCTTAGCTCAGTTATGTGCAAGAAAAGCAATTAAATTATCATATAAACCGGATGCTTTATGCTAAACAAAACTGGACACTCAAGCATCATAACTGTTTTAGTTGAGCTTATGTTCACCTGAATTTTTTAATGTTAGGTGAAAACAATCTGGAAACAGCAAAAAAACATGGTGTCCATTAGTTTTTTGAGTTCTTTCCGAAAAACAAATATTGCCACTAGATTCAGCGTGGTCGATGACGTATGTTCCATGCGAGATCAAGGCTATGCTAAGTCATCAGATACTAGTCCAAGGATATCCAGTATCGCGCCCGAATCTCTGAAAACCAAGGTCTGGCTTGGCTCTCATGTTGAACAGGACACTTCGAGCTATCTACCCCTGTGAAAAAATTTTTGTCAAAGGTTATTTAAAAACCATTCGAGTCCATTCTTTTTACTTGCTGACAATAGGTGCCCGGTCTATTTCTATATTTTTCTTTTCTAACAAAATCTCATCCTGTTATTAGGTATTAGTGAGTATGAAACACCTCTGATTACAACGACAGTTGATTCAAAATCCACTGTCAATGAATCACCTGTCGTTGTAATCAGAGGTGTTTCATACTCACTAATACCTAATAACAGGATGAGATTTTGTTAGAAAAGAAAAATATAGATATAGAACTGGCACGTAGGCGAAAATCTGTCGAGTAAACTCTTTCATTTTTCAACAAGTGAATATCAACCAGTAATAATGCCAAAGGAATAGTGGCCGCGGTCTTTTTCTTTATAACTTTTTAACGGAGCAAGATGAAGACCTGCGGCTTCCAGTGTCTTGTAGCCAGGACCTGACAGCATCTTCCTATGTATAAATCAGTTCTACCAATGAGGTCTACTACAGTGTACTTGATCGATGTTCCAAAGGTAAGAATGCCACTCCCTGACTTTTCATACAAGTCTAATGTTTGAAAATACGTCTAACATAGAGCGACGTATCTGACAGCTCCATCTGCGACGGTTCAGGTAGGAGCGGACTTTTTCCGAGAACCAGATTTTGTTGATATTTAGAAATTTAAAAATGTATGGAGACATAGGTTATCGAGCACGTTGAGTCACGTGGCAGTATTTATTTCCCGAAAAAAGTTCAAGAACCTAGTGAAATCTATATTAGGTGAAATAACCTATTTCTGCCTATATTCGCGTAAAATTAAGAAATTAAGAAATAAAAATTCTTTTCTCCTAACCGTCTAAATTAGATTATTTTAAAAGGAAAGCTAGACAAGCTCGTGAAAGGTGCCGCGAGTGGATTTGTATAAGCTTTTTAGACGATTAGGTGAAAATAATTTTTATTAAGTTTTGAGATGACTAGCTAGCGTTGAGACATGTGCAGTTTTTAAGCACAAAACTAAAAAGGTTGATTTGTGAAAAGTAGAAGAAAAATGTCTTTTTCCACACATAATACCCATCTTCCAGCCATTTTTACAAAATTAAATTTTTTTTTCTCTACTAATATGAACGATGAAGATAAAAAAGCATGCCACTAGACATAACTTTCAATGCTTTATTCAACCATATGCAAATTATCGCATTTGGGCAATGAACCAAAACTGAGGTAAAAACTAGTAGGAGACGGGCCTCAAATACAGCGCTTGTCGTAAAACGTGTGTAAAATCATAAGAAATCATCGCAAAGAGCTCGCCGACGTCTCATTTTGTAGAAAATTGTTTTTTTTGCATCTGTAATGACTCGAAAAATTTTTGTATGTGGAGATCTTCGAGATTTGTATCAAAGTTTAGAAAGTAAGAAAGTGATAGAACCTATGCCTATCCGAAATAATGTTCGAAAACTTCTGTGCATTGAGTTTCGACGTATCAAACTTTTGAACAATGATTCTAGTACGTCTCGATGCGCTCTTTCAAACTACACTAGTTTTAAAAAATTCATTTCACTTACTGGAAGAAAAGTCATTTTTAAATTTTCGTAGCGATCTTTTAACAAAATCCTTACTATGAGCAGTCCTCAAGAGACAAAAAGTTTTTGACATAGCTATTGGATAGAGCTCATTTCGGAGTATATATGTAAAAATAATCTCGACTTTATCTTTCATACTGGCTGAGAAAATTAAAATTTACTTTGGCATCTACAGCAAAACACAGCTCTCTATAACGAGCGACACCTTAGAAAAATGCTTATATCTCTTGAGCTGAAACTTTCAGATTCAGTGGCGGTTCGACCGGGGGGGGTTACCCCCCATACTTTTTAAAAAAATTTGGTCAAATTTACTCCCAATTTGTGAAAAAATATGAACGATTTACTCCCAAATTTGGGAAAAGGTAAGAACGATTTACTCCCAATTCTGGGGAAACTCGGAGAGTGATTTAGTCCACTTCTGAACAAAGTCATGGATGATTTACTCCCGTTTTGGAGGAAGTCATGAACGATTTACTCTCAAATTTGGAAAAAGATAAGAACGATTTACTCTCATTTCGGAGAAATTCGGAGAGGGATTTACTCCGATTTTGAACAAAGGCATTAATGATTTACTCTCGTTTTGAACAAAATCAAGACCCATTTACACCCGTTTTGGGGGAAGTCATGGGCCCTTTACTCCCATTTTTGGATTTATCCCCCCCTCTTCGCGCCGCCACTGTTCAGATTATTCCTAAATGTGTTTGATCTTCATACCCTAAAAGCTTCAGCGAAAGCGGTCACACCTTGGATGCGACGTACGTTGTAGCTCTCGTGCAGTGACTCTTAGGGGTTTGACTACGACACTTTCCTCTATCAACTAGCATAAGATTAATAAAAACGGAGTTTGACTCCTGGGGAGGTTCCCTCGTTAGTAGTCAGGTACAAACACACGACCAAAATTAAAAGACTAAGAACAGTTAGCATATTAGCATTTTACAATGTTTTATTTTTATTTTTATTTTTATATAGAAATTTTTCTAAGATTACATTGTTTATTTTACAGAAGGAAAAAAATTTAAAAATAAGAGATATTCTGGAATAGAAGAAAATTGAAAGTTATTTACATATTTCCAAAGATCACACATTTATTTCTGAAATAATAATAATGTCGTCGTCTTCAACGCCTATGGAATATCTCATTATGGATTTTCTAATAATAATAACAAGTTTTTCTGCTATAATTCTCTCATTATATATTATTTTAATTATTTTATTTAATAAACGATTAAGAAAAGAAATTTCTATTATATTAATTTGTAATTCATGTATAGCTTCTGCATATGGATCATTAATGTTATTTATAATTTATGTATATGTTTTTTACAATGATTTTATGAAACGTAAGTTGTTAACGAGTGTTGTTAAATGAAATTGGAGTAAAAAACAGAATAAAATGTGTCAGGCTTTTGAAAATCACTTTGTAACGCATCTGCAACATCCGACTATGAAAGCCTTGAAAAAAACATTTTTTTAAAAACTTTTTAGCCCACTTGCTATGATTAAAAAACATAATAAAAGCTGTAAATCACGCTCCCAAACAAACTAAACGCGGTGTCATAATCAGACGTGTTAGGCGGTACACCGCGCCGCCGCCCATAAAATTCAAAAAACTCACGCCACCCTCGCCGAAGGCAGCAGAAGAATTGTGTAACGCATCGCCACCTATCAGGTAACATTTTAGCTACAAAATTTTTAGAAAACTAATTTTTGAGAAAAATTCACGTCGCCGAAGGCGGAAATAAATTTATGACTCATCCGTCGCCGGTGAGCGACTAAATTTTTTCACGCCGCCGCCACTCATTTTGTCGGCTGACGTATCTAGTCACAATAGAACGACGTGTTGTGCTATTTTGTCCAGCACAATAATAGCTTGTTTGGGAGTGTCGCTCTAATGTGTGCAAAGGTAAATAACAAATTTTTCGACTTTAATTCAGGTGTTAATAACGCAAGTTGACTTGGTAAAAAAATTATAGTTAAGAGTTGAATTCTTGACTAATAATTGTTCAAAAAGCTTTGCTAGAGGCGAGATCGACGGAATGATATTAAAGGAAAGACTCTCTCGACACAACAGAGCGACATGTTCTAATACACGTCGCAGGTCAAAGTTTTTAGGATGTCGGTCTGTCGTATCGGTAGGTTTACTCTCATGTTTCGGCTTATTATCACGGAGGTCCTACAGGAATAAAAATTTCCTGATGAAAGGTTTGTAGTCAAAAACAGTTAAAATATCTACATAGTTATATAGAAAAACTACAGCTAAAATAGTTAAATTAGAGTGGACAAGAGTAAAATGAGAAAAAAATTGCGGACACGACTAGATCATATAACATGATAGTTCTTGAAAAGTATTTTTGCTGTAAAAAGCTTTTTATTATGTTCGATAGAGAAGTTCTCTGTATATTCTTAAAGTACTTTTCAAGCACTATCTACTGCTGACATATAAATCATTGAATTTCCATTGATTTTGACGGTGAAAATCAATACATAAGTGCCACGTGGCAAAGGCTATAAAAATCAAGGCTTTGACCGGCTAACTGGTGCTCTGATGTCCTGCGGGAGTGAACGGAGCGCCTCTTCGGATATCAGAAACTGACTGGAAATGTGCTCTTTGCTCATAAAATACTTTGTTTTCTATTTTATGTGCAGGTAGTGTGCCACACAACATCACCACTAATAATACAACTGATTTTAACATCAAACAATGTCAGTTACGTGGATATTTTTTAGAAACTTCCTTATCATCTCTCTATATATCATTTGATTTACAAGCTATTTATCGTTTATGTCATATTATATTTTATAAAAAATCATATTATCATAAAAGTGTAATATTTTATTTTGTATTAATCTGTTTAAATTGGATATACAGTTTCTTAAGGTAAATCGAAGGGCTGTCATTCTTGCAGTAGAAAATACCGACTCATACTCGCCGCGTACAGAGCTGTTAGAATACACAAAAAATGTGTAACATGAAATGTATTGCGGGAATATATTGTTATAGTGTAACTGTAAGGTAGTAGTGGGCTGATCCTGACACTCTAAACGTATTTAGGCATCTACACTTTCATGACAATCTCCGACACTAACTTGATGACGTGATAGTACACAAATGCCATAATAATGAACGCAAGCAGCAGCCACGACAAACACATAAAAGATTTGATGACTTTGAAACTAATAGAGAGATTTCAGAAATGTATGGATTGAGAGAGAGAGAGTTCATTTCTTACCCATATATCGAAGTAACCTGGAGCCAATCGTTCAGGTATTCGCGCTATTTAAAGAAAATAGAGATATGAGAAAATAAAGTATATCGCTTTTTTTTCGTTTACCAGCATAGAGAGAAGCACCGGTAATATAAAGAACGGCCATTAGTGCCAACCATTGAGCAGCACCAGCTGAAATATTTAAATGAAGTGAAATATGATCAAAAATTATGTCTGATTTTCTATTGAACTATCCGACATACTCGTAAAAGCATGTTTAAAACCGAATACCAATGCATAGTGCATTGTTGGAATAAAACCGAAAAGGCCAAATGCAATGAAGAGAACTGTAAACACAAAAAAAAATTGAAGATTTAACCCTTTACCCCCGGTCTACTCTCAGTTCGTCCAAAATTGACCTCTGAATTCGTCCCATGAAGCTTTTTTTCTCAGTTCGTCCCATCAACACGTCTCTTACAATTCGTCCCATATCAGTTTACACTTAATTAGCTTTAATATACTTATTTAGAGGCGCGAGCATAGATATCTGAGACTATTAGCGGACCAATATAAACGTCACTTCGTTGCGACCCCAAACTGCAGTCATTGTAATAAGCCTGAAACAGCTGAGCATTACTTTTTAAAATGCCTTCGTTTTGTCCAGGAAAGATCTATCTTGTTGAATAATATAAAATCGATTACCGCGTTACCACAAACTACTGAACTCATTCTAAAAGGGTCAATTAATCTCACCCCAGAACAAACCATCCTTATCGTAAATAATGTCCATAAATACATAGTTGACACTAAAAGATTCACTTAACACCCTTTACTTCTTGTGCTACTCCATTTTATTGTTATATGTAGAGAGGAAAAGTTTTTTGTATATTACAATCCTCGTTAAATAAATTAAACTAACCATTTATCTGGGACGAGCTGAGAAAAAAAGCTTCATGGGAGAATTGAGAAGTCAATTTGGGACGAACTGAGAGGATACCTTACCCCCGAATGGATCATATCTGACCCATTCAAAAACACTCATAATAAAAGGGAAGAAGCATCGGATCAAAAGGCTAATCAAGTATAATGTATGCAGAATTTAGTAAACTATCCATTCATAAAAAAATTAAATAAATTATTTTGAAAACATGAAAAATAGAAGTTCCACAGCAGTTTTACTTGATTGCTGTTCAATTCTCCTCAGGGGGTAAAAGGTTAAATTTGATATCAAACGTACGAGCTCGATATGTACGATATGCAGGTGAGGCAAATTTATCCCACATTGAAACGATAATACATCCGGTGCCTAATAGCGTAGTGGCTGATAAATAGGCTATTTTTGTTCCAAATTCACAGTAGAATGCATAGTAGATCCAAGGAATAAATGAGGAAATAATCAAGACCGATATTCCACAATAGTCAAGTCTAAAATCACTCATATTTTCAATAATGTAGAGAAACAAAGTAGGCGTTTTCTTACTTGTTAAAAATGTATGCAAATTGCGGTGAATGACACGAGAGTGTATGATATAATGTTGAACAAAGTAAACAAATAATGGCACCGAGAAAAAAGGCACAAAATACAATTTTTCTCTCTATATGAACTTCACTGGCTGGTTGTGTAATATAATAAATAGTTATGCATATAAAAAATAATGTACCCAATAGATGAGTCCAAATATTAACTGTTTCAGTATGTAGATGAAAGATTGATGCAAAACATTGTTTAACACTTGGCATTGGTGGTCGATGTCCAGAAATTAAAAATTCATTATCCAGCAACCAATGTGGAAGAAGAGCATGATCAACAACATATTCAACAACACGTTTACCAACTTCTTTGGCTTGTTCAACACATTTTGTTGGCACTTCAAGAACTGAATCTAATTCATCGGTTTTATCACGTAAATTTGTTTCGGACGAATCAGATCTATTTCTTAAAAATGTCGATTGTGTATCGATATCAGCAGAAGACGCGCTCTAGAATGAATATTACCAGTAGATAATAGGACGAAACTTAGCTTCCGAAGAAATATTGATCAGAAAATCACAAATGAATTACGTAGAAAAGGGGTACTTTCACTCAAAAAGTCCTTATCTCTCTCTATGATTAGACTAAGCTGTAATTTCCAGAAGAGGTAGGATAGAATTTAAAACTGTCGTGGTCTAAGTTTGAGCTCAGCTGTTTGTGCCGTTCGCGGAATATGAGAATGAGAGTGGCTGAAAAGTGGAGTCCGACATTAAGCTTTTTCGATCACACTTTTGATATGATACAGGACAAAAAGCAGTTTCAGAAAGAAGAAAACACTCAGTCGAAAAGATTGACATCTGATATTCTCATATTTTATTTTTTTCAATTTTTGGTCTTCAGTTTGACATGACACAGCGTAAAATCGCATCAACTGGCTGCTGTAAATCCACATATCTCCGCAATCGAATTTGATAACGCCACTGGACAGAAAAAGATTTTTAGTTGTACACAGCGGCGTAACCAAGAGGGGGGAGGGCAAATGGGCAATTGCTCATTCCATTTAGAGATTTACCCATTGTAATTTTACTTTTTCAGAATTGTTTGTTTATTTTTGAATTATTAGGTTGTTAACTAACCTCCGGCAAAGTTATTTTCACTTCTGCATAGAAACAAATGTTGCCACTATGCTCAGCGTAGTCGATTACCTATATTCCATGGCATTTCGAGATTCCCAGAGATGTCTACTCGGAGATAGACACGTGCTCGGGGAAAGCGAGCCCTGTCAGAACGACGATAGCTGGAGAGCTGGGACTTGCATAATTTTGTAGAGTAACGTCCGGACTATCTCCGCATGCAAAAGAATTGCTAACATTGTATGTTAGTTTTCTGAGAATGAAGCTGGTTTTCCAAAGATCCTCTGGAAATCGGACTTACAGAAAATTTTGAAACAAGCTTCTGCTTATAAAAACATGTCTTAAGGCCTTGGCTATTCAATTGTGAAAACCGCAGATCTCTGTCTCATTTCTGTGAAAAGTTATTCGAAAAATATTAGTGCTCAGAACTTAGTTAACAACCTAATAGACAGTAAATGTAATTTTTTTCTTCCGTCTGAATCACGCATGCACTCTTTGCTTGTTCGTTCTGTGATTTTTTGGCCCATCAATAAAAACCTTGCCCATTTTGCTCATCGTTTTTTTCCGACACAATAGGAGTTTACCCATTGATCTAAAAATCCTGGTTACGCCGCTGGTTGTACATATTATGGAGAGAAAAGAAAAGCCAACAGTTAGGAAAAGCAAAAACGAGTTTTTGATTCATAATCAGCTATACAGAGACGACAGTTCTAGTGTAGAAACTGTTGTCTTTAGAGATACATTCGGCATGGCTGCGTTTGTCATTTTATGCTTCCCAAATGCGACTTTGACGAAAGACAGAATCTGATTTTTCTCGCATCTGTGTGTCTTACTTTGCAGCGAAATTATTCATAGAGACCATCAGGCAGTAATTCTCATCGATATCTGATCAAATCAACGCTTTCACAAAGAAGATTTCTTTTGAAACACTTCAGAACACTATCGAAATCAACGAATTTAAGCTCTTTAATGATAATAATATACTATTGAACTGCTATCTATCAATTTGAATGAAAAGCGGAGAAGAGGATTTTCTTTTTTTTCGTAAAAGCATGTATATGTTTAGATACTAGAGGTCTGCGGGACTTTTTACGGGACCGGGACGAAACTTTATAGGACCGGGACTTAGAGATCTTGGGGATGGTCCCGATCCCGCAGGACTTTTAATGCGACCGGAACCAGGTTTTTTGAAAATAGTCTAGTATGGAGCATCAAACTTTCTTAGTTTCTGGGCTTGTTTGTATGTAGACACCAGTTCTGCGAGAAAGAACTCATAGAAAATTCTAAAATAACCGAAGTAAAGTCTTCGGTTAATACCACCCACGCATGCTGTTCCACGAGCCACATTACAACCCACTGACTTTCAAACCATCAGCGCTACTTTGTAAAAATATTTACGGGACCACGAGACCGAGACGAAAAGTTTTTTTCTTCGCGGGATCGGCACCAAAAAAGTCTGGTCCCGCAGGCCTCTAACAGATACAGTTGTCAAAAAAATTGATCTGAGAAAGGATTCGATTATCTTACGTGTGGTCGATCGTGTAATCGTCGTCGAATATCTTGCTCATTCGAATCACGATTATCACTAGATGGTTCGTTTTTCATTATCGTTTGTGACTTGGATGATAAAAAGATTATCTGGAATAAATATGATTCAAATCAAAATTTTTTCCTTTTTTTATTATATTAAGACACCCTGTTGATGAGCAGAAATCTGGACTAATGAATAAAATATTGTAGTGTATAAGGTTAGTTTTTATTAGTTGTTTTTTGCTTATATTCCTATCACACCACAATAGTAGAAAAAGTTTGAGCTTGCAAAACCAAAACAGGAAACAATACATGTGATTCAAAATAGAAAACAAAACAAAAATATTATGTACAAACAGCATCAAACAGATGAATAAAGAAAGGAACGAAAATGCATAGATAAAAATTGTCG